ACTTAGAAGAAATCTCAAGATAAGTTATCCTCAAATGATCCAAACATTGATTTGGTAACAGTGAATTCAGTTTTTTTAAATTTATTTTTTATTCTAATTTGCTATATATGACAGCAGAATGAATTGTAATTCATATTACACTTATAGAGCACAATTGTTCATATCTCTGGTTGTACAAAGTATTTTCACACCATTTGTATCTTCATACATGTACTCAGGGTAATGATGTCCATCTCATTCCACCATCTTTTTTTAACCCCCATTCTCCCTCCCTTCCCCCTCTCACCCCTTTCCCTATCTAGAGTTTGTCTAATCCTCCCATGTTCTCCCAGTGAATTCAGTCTTTTAAAAGGAGAAATTTATTTCCCTTAAATTGTTATGTTACCCTGCTTGGATACAGGCATTGTGCAGAAACATAAGCATGCTATTGTAGGCACTCAATGGATTTTTTTAATGTAAAAATTGATGCTAATTCGATTTGCACATACATGATGCCAAATACTATCCTTTTTCTTTCTCCTTTTTTTTTCTCTTAATATGGGATAGTTAAGTAAACAAAGAGAAAGCATAGTAACTTTCTTATTTTTATTAAGCGTGGTCATTTATAGACAATTATCAATCCTGTGCTTTAAAATTTTAAATCAGGGGCTGGGGATGTGGCTCAAGTGGTAGCGCGCTCGCCCAGCATGCATGAGGCACTGGGTTTGATTCTCAGCACCATATAAAAATAAAATAAAGATATTGTGTTCACCTAAAACTTAAAAAAAATAAATATTTAAAAAATTTTTCAAATAAAATAATTATCTTGTAAAAAAACAATTTAAACACAACCAACACCAAACCCTATGGAGAGTGTTGCAAGGCTACAATCTTGATGGATAGGTAAAAAGGCAGAATGTATTCCAAGGAACAATGAATCAGCCTCTGACATGATTTTTGTTTCACAAACCTCTTTTTTAAGAACAATGAACCTCTTCAGGGAAGAATAAAACACTAAAATAAATAAATAAATTCATAAAAATAAAAAAAAATGCTGCAGTTCATTTATTCATTGTGTTCTTTTGAATTTTCACTTAACTTTCTAAACTCTTTGAATTACCACACCAAATATATACATATGTATATAATATATATCAATAAAAATGGAAATAAACCTCCATTTTAAATGCTATCTGGAAACACTTTAACATATATTACATATCAGAATGAAGTAACACAAGGAAACTTTTTTAAACATAGGATTCCTCTCTAAAGCTGAAATGTGAGGCAGACAGACGTGTGACTTTCAAGCAGATGGAATCCCAGAATATTTTCAGGATACATAAATCTGAATTTTGTTTTCTGCTTTATGTCTGAGGCAGCTAACCAATCAACTGATGGTTAAGATTTCTGTACTCATTGTTTTTCCAATTTTCCCCTTTCTAAAATTTAAACTAAACAATTCAGTGTATTTTTTGTAGTCCTACGGATGAACATTACAGAATGGGTATGACTTTTATAACTTGCTGTGATTGTAATCTTTTGTGTGTGTATATAATGCCCATTGTTTTATCAAGACATATTCAATAATAAATGATACCAATTCATGGAATCCAACATATGCATTCTGACATAAAAAACAAAACACAAATTGCCACTAATAAAATTAGTTTATTTTATCTTAAAGTTTTCCAAAAATACACTTGTAAATTTACCCACATACTTGGATAAAGATAACCTTTACAAAGACATTAAAATTTTGTAAATTATTCTCTTTTAGCTGTTAAAGTACACAGAGTAGAAGGTGTTATAAAAGAGAAAATGTTAAGTCATGGTCAATGCTTGAAAGGCACTAATACACATTAAATCTTCAGAATACTACTAAAATATTAAATTTTAAAGATATTTAAGGAAAAAAGCTGTGCCTTCCTTTCAGAAAGCTTTAATTGCAAATGATGTTTACTAAGACATATTATATACTGTATACCACAATAACAATGAATGATCTTCTCAAATTTTACCTAATTGCTTTACAGATGAATCAATCTATACAGGAGAAAACACAGGAAATTGCTTTTAAATATATATATATATATATATATATATATATATATATATATATATATATATATATTCTCCCCAATTTTCGTGATATTAAAGAAAATTTAGCCCATTCCAATTAAAAAGTAAAATTTACTTGTATTTAATATTAGAATAATATATTTTAATAATATAAAATTTCAAGCATTTTCCAAAAATACAAACCGTGTTATTACAAAAAAAGAAAGAATGAAAACATATTTATCTAACCATCATTTTATAGGAATTAGAATATTTACATACTTTATAATACTGTAGAAATCTTTGGTGGTGACATATGAAATAAGATCCCTGAAAACACACTGATAATTTTGTTCCATCAAACAGTGTAGTCAAGTATTTATAATAAGTAATGGTGGCAGTATTATTTTTTAGCCAAATATGCATACACAGTGAGGTGTGTGGTGGGGATCTTATGTCAGACTTGGGTGGGCTTATATTATTACTTAGCCTGATAGGCAACACCAGAAACAATACCCTAAAGAACAGATCAGTTCTTACTTCTAAAGAAACTTTTGAAACAGTTAAGTACTAGTGAGCAAACTGAATGAACAAATAGTAAAATAAGATACTGGCTATAATTTCTGAATAAATTCCAACAGCTACCAAAACACTTAATATCTAGGCCTCAACGGGCAGTGGAGAAAAGCAAGGCACCGTGGTCTAAGGATAAATTTACATTTAAAAAAAATCAGTAAACTTAAAAGGAGAGAGAGACAGCGAGCGAGCCCTATTCTACCTTAAAAGAAATAAAAATGTGTAAGTTTATTTCACAAAGATCAAAAAAGGAATGCTAAAACACATTAAGGTGACAGAAACTCTAAGAAATGTAAAATGAAACGAAAATGATAGGAAATAAAAAAGGTATCAACTATGTGTAAGATACAACAGTAGAAATATATCAGAGGAAGGACTGTGAACATGAAGGAGTGTAATTAAACAGAAAAACTTTGCATTAGTGAGACAGGTATCTTTGATGAAGCATTTTGACCCTACAAGATAAATAATTCTTTCAATTTAAAATAGTATGAGTTTACTAAAGGATGGTGCTTTTTTGTTGTTGTGGTAGTACTTATTCTTTTTTAATTTTTATTTTATGGTGCTGGGGATTGAACCCAAGAGCCTTGTACATGCTATGCATGTGCTCTACCACCAGGAAAAGTGTAATACTGAGATTAGATTTAAAAAAGGTAAAATGGCACCAACCAGCCCCCATAGATAATGTTCTTGATACAAAGTCACTTACATGACCTTATCAGGCGATTTGAGATGACATTGCCTCTGCCTAGGAAGAGCAAGCACAGTGTAGCATTTATATTAAGAAGTCCAGTATAATTAGAATTCACAGGGATTTTGAAAAGGAATTAAGAGTCCTTCCAGAAACTAAGAGGCTAAAAATTACTCAAGGTAAAGATGGAGGTGTTCACAAAATTAAATTTTGGGAGGAAAAAAAATTGAAGTTTTATTTGGTGTGAATGTGAGATAGTCCAGAAAATATTAAATACTAATATGGATGCAACATATTAGTTGCATCCATATTAGTCTTTAATATTACTTAAATATACCTTACTCAAGGTACTCCTGAGTAAACATAGAATTCTTGGCTAATACTCTGAGGAGATCCTGAATGTATATCACCAACTGGCTTCCTTTCTTAAAAGGTAGAAAGGTCAATGATCTTACAAATCTCTCCCTCTGTGTTCTCTTGGGCAAATAAGCAAAACAGTCAAGTAAATTAGCTTGTACAATTGGATTACTGATCACTAAAACCATCGCCAAAAATATACTGACTTAGGGATCACAATACATACTTATCAATGCGACCTAAAAAAGCCTCCAAAATCTTTTGGATTAAAACATTTTTTAAAATAACTTCTGATATACAGGATTAATGGTGTCTGAATTTGTATCGGCACTCATCTTCAGGGAATTATCTCAGCCAGAAAAATATTCAAATGATTTGAGTCAATGCCAGATTTATAAACCAGCAGCACATATTAATGCCAAGCTTGTGAATGGATTGGCTGTTGGATTATTTTATGAATCAGAAGAGATCTAAGTACTATACTAATCTCCAACTCTATTTCACAAAAGCTACCATTTTTTAAAAGCTGAAAATGTAATTGGTGTTGACAAAAATATACTAAGTTCAACTACACTGTACAGCTAATTATGGAAAACTGGTTAATATTTAAAATAACTTTTCATTTGTAAAGGAAATAATTAAAATAGTAATAATTGAACAATTAGTTATATTTTTATATTATAAATCCAATGAATTTAACAAATGAAACTCACAGAAAGGAGATGATGTATTTCAAGGTATAAATTTGCCATGTCAGAATAAGACAAATAAGCATACAGTGTCAACAAAATTTAAAGTAATGTACAGTTGTAAAATAAGTAAACATTTTTCAAGTGTGCAAAACTAGTCAGGAAAGTGCTACGTGGATACCTGGTTTTCAAATATTTGTTTCAAAAAATTTCAGTTAATGGTGGAAAAACGAGAAAGTATTATAAAAGTAAAAATTAAAGGAATATACAAAATATACCTTATTATCTTACATTATGTCCTTGTTATATCATTGCCTGATCAGAGGCCTATTTATTTACTATCCTCATGTGATAGAGATCACATAGATAAAGGTAAACACAATGTTTAACACCACAAAAGTTAGTGTATCCTGAACCATAAAGAATCTTTTCAAGTATAGTGTGGGTCTGTGTTTCATCTAATATCCCAGGCATTCAGTGTTGTTGATGAATATGAAAATGGATAACATGCTTTTCTGTAGTTTTTGATGTACAGATATTAGTAGGCCTTGCATAACTACCTTTTGTAGTCAATATTTGAAAGTAATTGTTAAAGAAATAAAGCTATGTAAATTCATGAAAGTAATTCCTATCACTACCACAATTTCAAGAACTATTTTAATATGTAAATCCTGAATATATCATATTAGAAAATGAAGTTGATCTATTAGCATTATTTAGGATATCTGAAGTATAGATGACTAAAAATACACCTGTGGTCTCTTCTTCACTTTATATTTTAGTGAACCATACCGCACCTGAAGAGAGAAATGTGTTATTAAGAATTTGACTGATTATTTTTAAAAATAAGACAAGATTTAACAGTTCACAATCATAGGAATTTTTAACTTTCTGATACAAAGAATAAATTATCTTGTAAGCATGTATAGAACAGCACTTCTTATTTACTCATAAAACATTCACTGTTATTATTTATGTTTTGCTTTGTATAATGTTGATGAATATTGATCTGACATTGCTTTCGGGCATAGAGAAAACATCATTATGGATAAACTTTTACTATTTATTCACCATGTAGGGTTGGTTGAAAGCAAAAATATGTAGTTAATTTTTTTCAGTAGCACAAGGCTGGCACTGGGTATTCATGATAACCATGTGACGTGCTGTGTGGGAATACCATTTTCTACTTATACTGGAAGACTAGGAATTTACCACTTTTAAAATTCCCAGAAAAAAAATTTCCAGAGAATTTAATATACAACTGCTGCTCTATCATTCCAACTCTTCATTTATGGATCATTAATACCCTAAATGATAATGCAGCAGGGAAACCCCCAAACCCCAATCATTAGAAAAACAACTCTACACTTGACTAACCTCCTTGCGGCCTTTGATGGTTTTCACAGATTTCATGCTTTGTGATCTCCGAAGCCCTTTGTGTGTTAACATCTCATCATCTGAATATGGCCCATCCGCTTCTTCATCTGTTTTTTCACCTCCATCTTTTAGTGGAATTCCATAAGCTAAACAAGTTGTCAAAAACAGCATGTTTTGGTAAAAGGATACCAGTCAGCACTGGCTCACCTGTGGACGTTCTCTGCATATTCTGCATTTGCTCAGTTCCCTTTCTCTCTCATTTGGAATGTGTTCCTGCCCCTTGCCATTAATCTTTGCCTTCTGCACTATTCTAGAAGATCATAACTCATTTCCTCTAGGATTCCCTGACCATTCTTATTTTTAATATACATTTTTAAAATTATTTTTGAGCAGTGACACGTGCATCCTGTTAAACAACCAGAGACTATAATGAGACATATTGTGAAGTATCTTCTCACCTTTTCTCTTTTTCATAAATTCAAGAAAACCCCAAGCATTGGTGTGTTTCAGTTTGTCATGTGTGCCTTGACTTTTAACAATTAAGATTCCCTCACCCCACATAATCTCTTTTGTGAAGACTGGGAATGGTAAGGTGAACCAAGAAGACCCAAAGGGGCTACAAATTTTGGCAAGGTAAGTTCAATGGGGACAGGTGATGGGGAGGTTAGACCAACCCTGTTGCACTGAGATAAAACCCAGCCAGACAGGCAACAGTAATTAGAAACACCACAGGCTAAGATGACAGATGTTAGTCAAGAGAAAACAACCAGTATCAGGAAGGTCAGTGAGAGAGCACATGGTGGGTGTGCTAATAGGCTGTTATGTGTAACTATAAAGACTTAACTATTAGCCACATGCAAACATCCAGATAATTAGGTCAGTATTGTGAGGAAGTCTGAGAATATCCTGAGGAGCAAGAACTTTATCACCCCTGAAGCACAAGTTCACATTAAGAGATACCAGGAAAACTTATCAATACAGACTGCTTGAAATTCAACAGGCCTGGGATGGCGCTTAGATCTTTGGCTCTAACAAGTATCCCGGTGATGTTTATGCTAATGACCCTGTTTTCTGAGGGTCCTGGACAGAGAACCAGGCAAGGGCCAATCTAAGGCAGTCAGACCACTGGGTGGGTAGGTTATATAGATAGAGCTGGCATTAAAAGGCCCCATGAAGTTTCAAATTCTTCTTTAATAAAGATAAGAAGCATACATACTTAAATCATCAGGTGAGGAAAAAGTAGAAAGGTTTCCGGGCTTAGGAGGAGGCAAGAGATAGACTCCTTGCATGTGAAAAAATATATACTGAAAAAATAATGTGAACTCACTAAGAAAACCACAAAGAGTTGCTAATATGCTTCTTACTCTGATACGTAAACTACTTTAACTGTATGTTAGACAAGTCTGATTTTATGCTGTTAGATGTCTAGGCTAAAAATTAAGGAGGAGTTGAAAGCAGAATTGGTTGTCATTTAGGCCAAGATCTTTCTTTTCCTGCAGTGTTCAAAAGAAGTGTGTTCTGGGAAGAAGAGACTATATAAGCCCAGGGCTAGGGCAGCAGAGGAGTAAAACTGCTTGGAAGGAGGAAGCCAGTGTGCCCAGGTCAGCGCCTGGGGTCACAGGCCTGTGAGAATGTTCCTGATGCAGTAGTAAGTGGGAAAAATTGCACACATATAAACAAAGGAAAAAAATAAAAATAATATCATCATATCTCATGGAAGTTGACTTGTAGATAATTCTAAACTTCATTTTTCCTTTAATTTGCAAAGTATTTATTTTAAAATTATACTTCTGTAACTGAGGAAAACAAACCCGAAAAAATTGTTTTTAGGCTGTCATCTCTAGATTATTTATTACTAAGGGGCTGAGGATAGAACCCTGAGCCTCCCACAGGCTAGACAAATACTTTGGTCACTGAGCTATATTCCCAATCTGGATTATTCTTCTACTGCTGTGCTTACATAATATTCCCAATTCCAGTACGGTAAAACACAATAAGGAGTCAAGGAGAGTCAGAAAGTTCTCTAAGGTCACAGATGTGGCATATAACTACAGTTCAATAAACAGTTCTTGCCATTTTAGTTGCCTCTTATCTTATATGATTAATATTTGGAATGTCATTCAAAAGGTGATTATACAACATATTCTTTCCTTCTTTTCTAATTTCAGCTAAAAAAATCTTACTGACTTTCTAATTATAGTCTCAGGAAAAGAGATGGTTTGACTTGTTATTCCACAATATTGTTTAAATTCTATTATGTATGAGTCATGTACTAAAGTATGGGGATACAATGATGAAAAGACACAGCTGCCTTTTTCTCCCCTCAAGAAACTTATAGTCCAACAGGGGAAACAGGGTCAAATGGGCATTACGATACTGTAATAATTGCTATAAATAGAAAATAAGGACAAGGTGCCAGGGGAGCATATAGTAAGGAGAATTCACTCAGCCTGGGTTCACTCAGGTTCAAGAGAAGACCTTTAGGAGACAGTGGCTAAGCTAAATCCTGAAGAGCTCATGATTCCACACAGTTAGGGCATGATGGAGTGGGAGAATAAGATTGGGAGCTAATATACCATGCTATCAAATTTGCACTTCACCAAAAAGAAATGGGGCAGGGGGGGCTTGGAAGTATTTTATGCATAAGACTAGCATGATATCTGGGTTGTGTAAAAAACTGCACTTTGGAGAATGAATCAAAATGGATAGGCTGGGCATGGTGGCTCATGCCTGTAATCCCAGTGGCTGGAGAGTTAGAGGCAGGAAGAGCTCAAGTTCAAAGCCAGCCTCAGCAATTTAGCGAGGCGCTGATCAACTCTGTGAGACCCTGTCTCTAATAAAATACAAAATAGGGCTGGGGATATGGCTCAGTGGTTGAGTGCCCCTGAATTCAATTCCCGATTACTCCCACCACCCCTAAAATGGATAAGACTGAAAACAGGGAGCCTAAGCAGGCAGGTCTGAATTGACATAGTCCCAAGAGTGAGGATACAAAAAGTAGTGTAATTCGGAGTCTATTAGGAGGTGAAATTGACAAGTTTAATTTAGTAACCTAATAAAAATCCCAAATGAAGAGAAGGAAGATACTGAGTCAAGCCAAATACTTCATTAAAACATATATATAGGGCTGGGGTTGTGGCTCAGTGTAGAGCACTTGTCTAGCATGTGTGAGGCACTGGGTTCGATTCTCAGCATCACATATAAATAAATAAAGTCCATTGACAATTAAAAAAATATAAAAAAACCCCCCAAAAAACAAATATACAATTCAAAATAACTTTATACATATTAGTCCATTTCAATATCTAACTGTCTCTATAGTATAGGATCAAAACACAATACTGTTTTATTGTTAATATTTTCCTTACAATCTGAATATATTTTCATATCAGTAAGTATATATTGACATTATTATTCTTCATGGCTAATAAATTACCTTTTTGTTTAATAATTTTTCTAAGGTATTTGTCAAAAATTTGATTTGTTCTAATATTTGTTATTTAATTTATTTTTGGCAGTACTGAGGATTGAACCCAGGGTCCTACACACGCTTAGGCAAGCAACTCTACCACTAAGCTATATTCACAGTCCTCTAATATTTGTTATTTTAAATGAGATGAACTTTATTTTTTTATTTTGTCAGTACTGGCTAGGGCCAGGTATGGGAAGCAAGCTCTCTACCAGTGGGCCACATCCCCAGTCCGAGATGAACATTCTCACATATATATCTTTGAACATTTGTCTGATTATTTCCTTATGACGTATTCCTCGAAGTTTCTTGCTGAGTTAAACGGAATGTATTTTGATGATTACTGCCAGATTGTCATCCAAAAGGATTATTCCATTTTAAATTCATACAACATGCACAAGAGTGTTTGCATCTCAACACATTTTCTGTGGTGGTTTTAAAAATACCCATGAATTCCCTGACACTCTTTTTCCCTTCTCTTAAATCCCACAGGCCTTTGTACCTACTTTGACAAATGGCTTCCAAAAATGTGGTGGAAGTCACACTGAAGGACCTCTGCCACTTTCTCTTGGGACTCTGACTCTGGAAACTTCCATTGTCAGGTGAGTTAAACTAAGCTCAGAGATCACAAGAGAGAACATAGAGACAGCTGTTTGCCTCTTCCTGGCTTAGACATGTGTGAGATGATGACTCCAGCCTCAGCTGCTCTCTGATCACAGCTGCATGAGACCCTGAACAAAAACTGCTTTGCTGAGTCCATTCATCCCCCACATGCATGAGCAAAATAAGTGACTGTGATTGTCTGGGCCACTGTTTTGGGGTGGTCTGTTATGCAGCAACAGATAACTGGAACAGTTACCAACATGAAGCAATGTTAATTAAAAGCACTCCCCCCAAATCCAATGAGCAAAAATTACTATTGTTGCTATTTTAATTGAAATTAAAAGCATTATTTAAATCAAACAGCTGTGATTAAAATAAGTAATATTGACTATCTGAAATTGAAAATATTTTTCATGTATTTGTTGGTCAGTTGTACTCTTTGTAGAACTAATAACTGGTTTGTAAGGGTTCCTGGATTGTCAAAAATCTGAAGCCCCTGAGTACGGTGGTGCACACCTGTAATCCCAATGATTCAGGAGACTGAGGCAGGAAGATCCCAAGTTGAGACCAGCCTCAGCAATTTAGTGAGGCCCTAAGCAACTTAGTGACACTGTCTCAAAAAACAAACAAACAAAAACCCTCAACTCCCCCCGCCAAAACTGGGGTTCTAGCTCAGTGGTAATGCACCCCTGGAGATTACTCAGTGCCCCCACAACACACACACACACACACACACTCTCTCTCTCTCTCTCTCTCATATAGGTATATATACTTTGCCTGTAAAATACAATGAAAATATTTCTGATAGTTTGTGATTTATCTTTTTCTTTTTTGGTGTATTTCTCCTCTATATGTTGTCATAAATCTGAAGCCTCTGGATACGGTGGTACACACCTGTAATCCCAATGACTCAGGAGACGGAGGTGGGAAGATCCCGAGTTGAGACCAGCCTCAGCAGTTTAGTGAAGCCCTAAGCAACTTAGTGAGACTGTTTTTTTTTTTAAGGTAGAAAAGTCCCTCAAACTTTTCTGTTATGTTTTCTGATTTTGATGTCAGGCTTAAGAAAGTTTACCCATCTAAGAGAACAAAATCATACACAGGAATTTCCTACTACATGGTTTCTTATATTCAAATCTTAATCTTAGGTTTGAGGCAGAGGTATAACTTCAATTTATACCTCAGTTTCTAAGTCTAGCAATTATCTTAACATCATCAGTTATTTTCATATATCTTATGTTATTTTAAGTTCATGGTTTGAAATGTAACAAAAAGAACTAAATAACACCTGTGTATCTTAAAATATTTTAGTCACACAGGGTGTGCATGGTAGTGCACTCCTGTAATCCTAGTAACTCAGAAGGCTGAGGCAGGAGGATAATGCAAGTTTGAGGCCAGCCTGGGCAACTTAATGAGATCCTGTTTCAAAATAAAAAACAAAAATGGCTAGAGATGTAGCTCAGTGGTAGAGTGCCCTAGTACTGCAAAGAAAAAAAATTTAGTCACACCAATTTAAATTTAATAAATGAATATCACATAAATGTTAGCATTTTCATATTTATAATCCCATTTTAATTTAGATAATTGGAGTACAATTCTTAACTCATTCTAAAATATGAAAAAATTGCTGAAAAAGGACTCAAATATATAGTCTAAAGACAAAGCAGAACCCATAATCAAAATCATTATAACTAATTTAAAATGCATAAGCCTGTTCAGAGCTATGTTTTCAGTATTAATACTTAGGTTGATGGCTCAAAGTTCAATGGTTTCTCTTGCTAAAAGGTATCACTATCTTAATCAATGGCTAATGCTTGATTACTAGCTTTTAGATAATAGCCACCAACTTTGTAAAGTTATTCATTCTTGTGAGAACTTGGAAGAAATTTCATTATTTTTCCTTTGTAAGGAGAGACTATTGTTTTATTTTTTTCAAAGATTAATTATGAAGAATAACTTTTAATGTCCTTCAAAAAAAACCTTTTACTTTTTAAAAGAAAACTTAAATAATCTTGTATCTCATGGACTTAACACTTTAATAGGAAAGTGTAGAAGACCTCAGTTCTCAGGCTTACCTTGAATCAAAATTTTCTTTCTTCTTCTTCTTCTTTTTTTTTTTTGGTGCTGGGGATTGAACCCATGGCCTTGTGCTTTTGAGACAAGCACTCTACCAACTGAGCCCTCAGCCCCTCAAACTTTTCTTACGAATGACAAAATGTTGAAGGAACTTTTTTATTTATGTACATGCTTCTAAAAGCACAATAGTTTTTTATAGCTACAGGACACAGCAACTGTAACAATGCTCATAATTCATAGAGAATATGCAAACAAGTTAGCTCCTGAACTAAAAGATGGAATCTCAATACATTTTCCACTGGAGTAATCCTATTTTCAAATTGAATCATCTTTTCATCAGCTTAAACTTTTTATCTTGTGAGTCAACATCCTTGCTTGTCCACAGCACTTATAGGAAAGTGTGCTTAACTCTAAAACTCCTTAGATGTCAGTACATAGTTGGAGTATTGATCACAGGTCAGAATGAGTGCTGGCTGGTGAGGAGGCAACCACACCCATGGCTTCTAAAAATTCATGGCAACAGAAGAGACTACTGCTATTTTCTTTTTAAAATATTTTTTTTATATTTTAGTTGTAGTTAGATATAACACCTTTATTTTATTTATTTATATGTGATGCTGAGGATTGAACCCAGGGCCTTGCATGAGTGCTTTACTGCTGAGCTACAACCCCAGCCCCACTACTGCTATTTTCTTAGCGGCATGATTTCCACAGTCAATGAAAGGCAAAGGATAACATTATTTAGAGAAGTTTGGAGAAAAAGAGCTAAGTTAAACATAAAACTAAAAAATATAAGCTTAAAAGCAAATTTTATTTACCCAATTTCTGACAGTCACTATACTACTATAGTACCCAACTTGACCCACAAGTCCAATTATGAAAGGACCATATAGTAAAACAAATAACACACCTGCTGATTCACTGGGGGTTGGTTTGCTTTTCTTTTTTGCTTCTGGTAAAGGCTGATATGGTCTTTGTCCCACAGGCTCATCACCTTGTATAGCTGTTAAATCATGCATACTGAAACTTCTTAAACGTTCAGTTATGGCTCCTTGGCTCTATTAATAGAGAAGTGATAGATCCAGAAAAAAATACTTTATAAACTATCTAGTATGCTTGCATTTAACAATTTAAATATTAAGACATTTTATTATGAAACATTTTGCTATATTAATAACATCCTCAACCATTTTATTATCAAACTTTAAGAATGAAAGTTGAAAGATTTGTATAATGACCACCACATATTCTTTATATTTTGCTATTTGCTGTATTACATATCAACTATCTATCAATCCCTTTCATTTTTATGCCTTTCAAAGCAAGCTACAGCATTAATATATGTCACCCCAAACATTTCAGGATTATATTTAATTTTATAGTACAAAAAAATGTGTGATGAGATCATCCTCAGAGAAAAAGCATCCATAATTTTGAGTCTTGATTCAGTATTCTGGATTAGTGATACCAAAATTACCATTTTGGGGCAAAGTTTATGATTTATAGGAGATCTTTTCAAAGTAAAGACATTGGTTTAAAGCTAAGCCAAGAGTGGTACTAGCTCTACCTAGAACAAGGCAGGAAAATTTAAGAGCCAAAGAAATTTGGATATATAATGAAATTCAGTTAATGAATACACTATTTGGTGAATATTGTATAGTGATTACTATATGATCTGACTTTAAGTTATTTTGCTTAATAATATGAAAGACACTACACACAGGTGGGAATATTTAAACATAAATGAATAAAAATGAAATAAAATAAAAATTATTCCTTAACTGCATTAGTCACATTCCAAATGCTATAGGTACATGTGGCTAGTAGTTACAGTATTGGGCTGTGCAGATAGAGATGTTTTCCAGAGATGTTCTCTGGAGTGTTTCCATCACTGCAGAAAATTCAATGATTTTCCTCATTGTACAGTTTGAAAGTTACATTTTCTGAACTTTTCATATACAAGTATACCCCCCAATTATAAAGCTTTGTGAAAAGAGAAAATAATTTCTAAATTTACCTACTTTAAATTTGTATAGCATACAGATGACTCATTTCTTATTTATAGTTAGATTAAAATATTCTTCTGAAGGCTTTTTACACTTATTATTTCTTCTTTTCACACATGAGAATCTATGATTGCCTCTAGTTAGAAAGTTACCATAGAAACTCATGGTTAAGCTCTAAATTTCAAAGTCAAAGGTAGTACATACATTTGGGTGTCACTGCTAACTTGTATTTTACCCTGAAGAAAAGGTCTTGATTCATAACTTTGGGTTATTGATACCATATTATGTCAAAATGAAATCCCATTTACATACCCCACTTGAGCTTTGTATTTCTACCCTTTAAAAAAAAAAGTTATAGATGGACACAATACCTTTTTATTTATTTATTTATTTTTATATGGTGCTTGCTGATTAAACCCATTGCCTCACACGTGCTAGGCAAGCTGCTCTACCACTGAGCTACAACCCTAGGCACTTTCTACCATATTTTAAAAATCATGATAAATAATTACCAAAGGGTTTATTTCTCCACAAAACAATTGGATTTTATACATTTAAAAATATTCTTGACATGGTTTAATTCACTATACTTGCTTCCTCTTTGTCAGATATCATAATTATTAAACAGATGGTCAACAGCATACTTCTGAGACACACTGCAAGGAAGTCCGTGACCAGTGTTTATCTGAAATAGATACCTTGTTTTTTTTAGAACTGTCATCTTCTTTATCCTACCTTTGTATTTGTGTGCCTTTTCTCAGTAATTATTGATTTTTTACCTGCTGCCACACATACATGACAAATGGTATACGTGTCCTTGTGTTATAGTGTAGATCTTAAAGGCCCATGTGTTATTCACTTGGTCCTTAGTCATGGTACTGTTAGGAGGTGGCTGAGTCTTTAAGAGATGGGCTTGGTGGGAAAAAGGATAGTTCATGAGAGGTGTGCCCTTGAAGGGGGATATGGAGATCCATGTCCCTTTTGTTTACAGTTTTTGCTTTCCAGCATCATGAGGTAAGCACTTTGCTCTTCCATGATATGCTGCTCTGCCATAGGCCCAAGCAACAGGGTCAATCAATGGTAGACTAAAGCCTCTTAAGCTCTGAGCTAAAACAAAACTTCTCCTTATTTTTAAGTTCATTATCTCAGATATTTTGTTACAGTAACAGAAAGCTGACTAAATATCTTCTACCTGACTGAGGTGCAATTTCCAAGGCTGGCTATACATACTAAACCCTCCCACTCAAGAAAGTACATTTTGGAATACAAACGAGTGAAAGCGTCATTGAGTCAGTCAGCTTAATAATTATATCATCCAAAAACTTTGGTACCTGTAAGTATAATCAACAAATATCTTAGAACCTAGATCACAAATGATAAACTCATACACTATTGTTATTTCTATGCAGTATGAATAGTTGCCTCCAGAAAAAAATTTTAGGAAAATAGAGAAGGACAAATTTAAGGTGCTTTTCTTCTTCTAGTGCATCTGATATGGTTCTGATATTGAGCAAATAGTAAGAGAACTAAACATTCTTTTTATGCCTCCCCCTCTTTTTTTTTCATTACTCTTGACTGTTAAACAGTTTTCCCTAGAGAGCAGCATTTTTTAAAAACTTTTTTTAGTTGTAAATGGACACAATACCTTTATTTTAATTGTTTATTTTTATGTGGTGTCGGGGATTGAACTCAGTGCCTCATGCATGCTAGGCATGCGCTTTACCACTGAGCCACAATCCCAGTCCCTAGACAGCAGCATATTTTAATGTGAACACTGAAACTTATAAGCAGAAGTTCAGCAGCAAACTACAGGTAAGGTCATGGGCATCTCCATGGATTGATGACACAACCCACAGGGGCTTTGCTTAAGGTTTAAATTAGAGTAAAATGGCCTGAGGCATCTGGTGGTGTGTGTGTGTGTGTGTGTGTGTGTGTGTGTGTGTGTTGTCTATTTATTGCCTGGATTCTATTTTAGTTCTTGAGTAACTAACCCTATTGTTATCAATGCTCTTCAAGGAATGCCAGGTCCTAGGAAAAAGCAAAAAGGGGATGTAACTCTTCTTTGAGAAACCCCAATACTTCAACAGCTATTATCACTTTTTAAAACTGGATTTGACACTACACACACACACACACACATACACATTTTTTTTTATGTTCCCAGAATAGAACTAATATGAAAACAGAGAAACAGTATAGTTTTATGATCTTCAAAAACACAGCTAGGCATGGTGGCACATGCCTGTAATCCAGAGGATCACAAGTTTCAACTTAGTGAGGCCTTAAGCAACTTAGAGAAACCCTGTCTCAAAATAAATAACAAAACAAACAAACAAAAAAGGGCTGGTTATGGGGCTGGGATTGTGGCTCAGCGGTAGAGCGTTTGCCTAGCACGGGCGGGACCCGGGTTCAATCCTCAGCACCACATAAAAATAAAAGGCATTGGGTTGTGTCCATCTACACCATATATATATATTTATTTTAAAAAGGGCTGGTTATGTGGCTCAGTGGTTAAATGCCCCTGGGTGCAATTCCTTATAGGAAAAACAAACAAACAAAAAAACCCCAAAACAATAACAACAACAAAAACATTATAAACATCCAATGACCAATTTAAAGGATTGGTGTAATCACAAAATAATTTCATCTAAATTCCAATCTTCAATTTTTATACCTTTATCATAAAAAGTCCACTAATGAAGAAATTACTTTTGCTATATGATATTAAGTGGAGATACCTTTCTTCTATCCCATAATTCTAAATCATGTGGGCAAAGGTTGCAAGTATGATTATAGTTATGAGTAGACAGGGGAAATATATACAAAAATGAAAACAATATCCTGTTTAGGCATATAGGATGAGTGCTTTTATTGTTTTTAACTTTTTTTTTTTTCCTTGTGGTACTGGGATTAAACCCAGGGCCTCGTGCATGGTAGGAGAGTCCTACCTCTGAGCTATATCCCCAGCTCTTTTTATTTCATTTTGAAACAGAGTCTTGCTGAGTTGTCCACGCTGGCCTTGAACTTGCAACCCTTCTACCTCAGGCTTCCAAGTAGCTGGGATTATAGGCATGTGCCACTGTGCCTGGCTAACAATTCTTTCTGATCTGTTTCACTCATATTTTCTGTATCTAATTCTTTATTCCTTTCATTAAAAAACAAAACAAAACAAAGCAAAACAACAACAACAACAAAACAACAGTAGATTTTGAGGGTACAAATAAACCATTATATTCACGGTCAATAATAACTTTAAAAAGTACTGCAGTTTCATTTAAATTAGTAGTGTTTTGTTTATTTTATTCTTTTTGGTTTATATATATATTAAGCCTGTAAAAGAATAAAAAAGATAAGGACAGCTTATCCTGGGATGTGGCTCAGCTGTAGAGCTCTTACTTAGCATGCATAAGGCCCCGGATTTGATCCCCAGCACACACACACACACACACACACACAAAAGCAGGGGGAGTTGGGTGGGTGTTGAGAGAAAAGGATGATTCTAGTCTCACAGGGTAGGGAAGTATGTATGGAAAGAGCAATCTGAGTCAATGAGGAAGAAGGAAGTTCTATATAATTACACTTTAGATCATATTCTCTGCTGAATTGTATGTACATTGTTTGTTACAAGTGATCCTAAAAAATCAGAGAAAATAACAGATTATAATAAGAATGTAAAAGTCAAAGCAATAGACTAATTTACACTGAGACTCATCATCATCAAGAGAAGTTTTTCTAAAACTTCTGAACTTCAGATGTCTCAATTTTTAGGGTCTGGAATTAGAAAGGTTCACACATACATTTAAGAAAATGAGTGATGGTGCATGCCTATAACTTCAGCTACTAAGGAGGGTGAGGCAGGAGGATCACAAATTTGAGGTTAACCTGGGCAATTTAAATTTAGCAAGTCCCTATCTCAAAATAAAAAGGACTGGGGATGTAGCTCAGTGGTAGAGAGCTTGCCAAGCATGCATGAGGCCCTGGTTTCAATGCCCAGAACCTAAAAAACAAGAAAATGAGAACATGATAGAGGCTGGATCCAGATCTAACACACT